GGTTATCTGGTTCATAACACAACTCTCTTCTGAAAATCAAGAGATATCATTTGCAGAGCATACACAGGAGGAACTGTGTCGCTACTGTGCAAACCGTTGAGACAGGAACACTCATAGGACAAAAACGGGAGGTTAAGGTTCAGGTCACAAAAGTGATAGCAATGTCATATGCAATCAGGCCCTAAATGACAAGCAAGCACTGCTTGGGGACAGTAGCATGTCTCTTAGCAAAAGTAAAAAGCAAAAGTGGGGGTGGAGGCTCTTTTTATACATATTTTAAGGGTTTTCACTCTCTTTGGGTAAAAACCTCAATGAATACTGAATATAGAGAAGAATGCATGGAGGTAGCTGAGTGCCTGAAGCAAACACGTCAAAACTCAAGAATTTAGAACAAATAAGGAGTCATAGCTCTTATTAGAAACTCCCTTCCTTAACAGCTCACAGGAAAGAAATAACTGGAAGGGCAGTATTTGAGTCGGTAGCTATGCTGTTACCAGTACGGAATGAAAAAGAGAGAATTAAAAAAAGGCTGGCTTCCATCTCATCGTTAGGAGAGTGGGACAAGACCTGTAAAGACACAGCAAACTTCTGCCTCTCCAGTAGATACGAAGTTATGATCTGCAAGAGAGACTTCTAGTGTAGCCTATGTTTACAACATTCAACATGGAAGGCATTTTTTATTTCTCCCATAGAAATTACTCCAAATTTCTCCCAATTGTCTGAAATAACGCTCAAGCCTTGTGCAATATCTTTTGGCAGCAGAACCAAAGTTTTATAAATAAAACAATTCATGCCATAAATATAAAGGACCTATACAAGCAGCAGCCCTTCAGGACTCAACACCATCACTAACACCAAAAATTCCCAAATATGAATTCTTGGGCTATGCGGTGAAAATTACACATCATCATTACATTTATTTCATCATCTTCAAACACTACACAAAACAGACATGTAGGGGAAACAAGTCTTTCTTTGTCAATTTTAAGTTAATTCTCCGGGGAAATCTTTAATTAATAAAAATCAAAGTTACAGAATTATTAATGTACTTTGAAAACTTAGAAAAATAAGATACAGGTATAAAAAGATTGAAGGTAACATTAAGACTGTAGAAAAAGCATTAGATGTTCAACATAAATACAGCACGTTGTATTTATTAATCATTATTTATTAATCAAAGAGACTATTAGAGCAATGAAAAACAAACACAATTAAAGGTTACAAAAATATTTTAATTAAAACAGCAATCGTCAAATACTGGAAGCTGTATCCAAGCAAGGAAACCAAGACAAAGCATAAGCTCTGGAAAATTAGAGATAACACCATAATAAAATTAAAAAGGAAAAAAGAAACTCTCAAGTCGTTAAAGAGCAATTTGCTAAAGATCTGAAAACTAGCATGATTTTTTTTTTTTTTTAAACATGCCACAGTCAGTAGGACTGTGTAGAATTGATGATGCTGAGTTATGATCCAGGTGAAAGTGAAAGTTCCAGGAAAACAAAGAATTAGCAGGAAAGCCAAATTAACTATTTATATCAATTTTCACTACAGGTGAACTTACAGAAGGCCATCCTTTGTGAGATAGGAATTCAAGAACCTATCTCAAAGTGTCAGTAAATGAGATTCGAGAGGCAAATCATAATCATGCAAGTGTGATAAAGGAACTCCAACATGACTTTGCTGAACCACTACATGTAAGTCCAGGCAGCAATCTGTTGCTTAAACTAAGCTCCATATCAGACAAATTTCCAATGTCATATTGTTTTAAGGATTTTAAGGCAATAGAGTAAATCTTAGGCCGTTAACCTTGGACTCCATACTAGGTAAATTAATTTTAAAAAAAGTACGTAAGCTTTTAAAAACTTAAAACACTCAGAATAATAAATAGATCTAAAGATGATTAAATTATATACCATAATGACCTACTGAAATTTTTGGCTGAGAAGTATCAGTCATAAGCCACTGATTCCTGGAACTGGGAAAGATTATCCCACACTTACCAATTTCTTCTTACTTTTCCAAACTATCTATCACCATATAAAAGTTTACACTAAATGTTTAGTGGATTGGGGAGGGAGGTACAGGGTGAGTTACTGGGGAAAAAATCCACTTTGAGTGGATTCTGAGTCCTCTAAATCTAGTTAAGTAGATGTTAGTTACCATTGATCCCAGAGAAGACGGAGAACCCATCTTCAACATTTCACACAACGTGCGGGGTCATCAGTGGCTTCCCAGTCTTTTTAGAAGTTTTGGGTCATTTTGCTGTAACTAGCTCCTTTTTAAAGTTTGGGTCAAACGCATCTAAAATGAGTCAGTTTGTGTTTGGGTGTTCTGGTTTTGTGGCGGTTTTTTTTCCTCCAGAACATCTATTGAGATAGCATGGTATCATCACACATTAACACACACAAAATTAAACTGTCATCTAGTTTTATTCCACATACTTACGGACTTACAAGCATTTAAGAAAACAGTATGAATTAGTACAGTTTCCCATTTCTGCAAAGCCCAAATAATCCACTCTTCATGGATTATTCTGGAAGATGCAGGACAGAAATACATTATTGCACCACAAAACTCTCAACTCCCATATATCCACGTTCCTATCTCCTCATTGTACACCCCCCAAACTACCCACACCCGTCCCATCAACCACAGTGGACAGCACAATGTTTTTGGCTGGCCCCGAGTTCATCCATGCCAACCGGCACAGGGAACAGAGCAGGTAACTGCAGAGCCCCTGCTTCTGCCTTTCCTCATTGTGACATAAATTAGGATATCTCTTCTCTCTCCAGTTACCAATCTGCAGGAATATATTTAACCTTTCCCTGAAGCAGGCTGAAATTAGGCCAAATTTACCTAGGGGAGAGGGGGAAACAGTTAAAGTGATCATATAAATTTCATTTCCCTAGGAAATAAAATATAAAATTATCCAGAAAAATACAGCAGACACTACAAACACAACATTTGTCTTTTCTGAACTGAATGATATACAAATTATTTCATTATGTTAAAAGTCCAAATTAAATGAAGATGAATTAAAGCTGTACTGGACTGTATATAGATGCTAGGATAAAGAACAAAAGTTCTTGAAAGGGTTTTACTCTTCTTTCCGTCTGTCATTTTGACCGCTAATGGAAAGGAAATAAGCTTGGGTCAAACAAACAGTTTCAGAGCCTAAGTGGAAGACTACTGAAAATCACAAGGTGCAAACATTTTCCATTTCAATGATCTTCCTTATTTGTACATGATGTTTCCTTTAGAAAAATCTACCATAAATTTCATGTTCAAGATTTTCTTTTACAAGTAACACAGAAGTCTATACATCAGAAAGTTGTACAGATAAAATCTAGAATTACAAGGAAACATTTTCAGTTGACCGATTTATAATCTGAAGGTCCCAGAATAACATGCAAATTTAAGTCAATACTCATTTCAAACAATAAAAAAACAAGAATTCTTAATTTTTTATTGAAAACTGAGTTAATTCAACAGTGTCTTGAAGA